TTTCTTATTTTACTCCGTGTGAAGTAAGAAGAGGGGGAAAAAACGAAGCGGACAATTCGGAAGGACGTTGTTGAAACTGATCGCGTGGTAAAAGCGTATTGGAGAGAGACACACAAACGGGCAGACAAGAGAAAGATCCGAAAGTCGGCACGGACAGAGCAGAAAGGAGCTGTGTAAAAAAGTTTAAAAAAAAAAAAAAAAAAAAAAAAGAGAAAGAGAGAGAGAGAGGGAGAGAGAGAGAGAGAGAGAGAGAGAGAGAGAGAGAGAGAAAGGAAAGGCAAGGAAAGGAAAGCTAAGCCAAACACCGAGGCCGCGACATCGACGACATCGAACAAGAAGATCTTGGGAGGATAAAGAACAAGAAGGAACGACTTTTACCCGTCGATTTTTCCACATTCCACCTGCCGCACCATTTCTCAGCCCGTCGCTTTCCTTTTCAAGAGAAAGCCCAACGGTCCACGGCAAGAACCACCAGTCTACCACCACCTTCCACCACTTCGTACCTACCAACCGCACCTCCCCCACGACTCAAGTAAGGAACGCAATCCGAGGGAAAGTGCGACCCAGTCATCATCGCCCCTCCTTCCTTCCCGTTCGCACTGGCATCAGCCTGGTCCCGGTAACCTAACCAGTCCCAATCAATCAATCAATTTCCCCCCCTTCTCTCCTTCCCTCCGTCGAAAGGGAAGAAAAAAAAAGGGAAAAAAAAAGAAAACAAGCCATCGTTGGAAGGAACAACACTCAACTCAACCCCAACCTAACAACACCGGACCTTCCTCCTTCATCTCTTTGGAAAGAAGCCCGCCTGGTATACTCCGTACACACAAACTGCAACTGCAACTGCAACACCAAATACTTGCACTTGCTGCACCTTCAACCATCATCGACATTGGATCTTTCCTCCTGTCGCAGTGTCGCTTATAGTTGCACACTGATCCACGCAATCCACGCCCACCCCTCCCCTACGAATACCAATACCCCCTGCTTTGCGCCCAATCACGCCTTGCCTTACCTGCCTTGCCTGGCCGAAGGAGAGCATATCCCACCCATTATCCATCCCTATCTTCCCTCTCTCGACCTGACCTGCACCTACCTGCCTTACATCAGTCAGTACCTTACCACTTCGTACTTTCCCGTGGTGCAACAGGGCCCCCCGTCACCACTCCCACTTCAACTTCCTTTTCGCAAGCAACATCGCATTTTATTCTTGCCAGAATCTGCAGCTGTCCTCTCCTCCCCAAAGCGAGGGAGCGTCACACAAGATGAAGGTTCGTCATCCTCCACCCTCCTGGTACCTGCTGTTGTGCAATCCTCTCTGCCTCTTTCTCCTGCATCCGCATTCCCATCTTCTTCCGCCCCTTCCCACCCCTATCAACTGTTCTCTCCCTCTTTCCAGAAACCCAGTCGTGCGCGCATGTCACCACCACCAATACCAAACACAAACACCACTTTGTGCTCTTGTGAATTCCTCCTCACAACTTCACATCCTCACCAAAAAGAAACTGGTGCACAATCTTGCATGCGCTCTCTGTTTCTGCCTTTCAGTACCTCTCTCTGCCCTCAGCCCTCTTGCGACATTTTGCGCTCCCTTCATTCTCTCCCACTTTCCGCCGTATATGAGCAACCCCGCATGCGCCCATGCTCATACCCACGATGAATCGCGAATCAATGTCCAGAAATCGGTTTTCCGATCACTTACTGACAGTACCTTACCTCATGCAGGCCCTCCGTCGGTCCATCAAGGGCGAAAAGGACAATGCCAAAGTCAACATTGCCCCGAAGTCTGCTGTTGCTATTGTCCCCCCAAAGAAGGTACGTGCTGATAGAAGCCTCAATCCCCATGCTGTTGCTGTTGCTGCCCCATGCGCCTGGGCCTCCACCACGCGCGTACGCAATATGCGTATGGTGGGGGGGACGCTGACAACTGCCCTGCGTAATCGCATCTTTGCTGACCGCTGGAACCCACATACCAGGTTATCCGAGCCCTATACGACTATGAAGCTCAGTCCAACCAAGAGTTGAGCTTTTCGCGCGGCGACTTCTTCCACGTCATCGGCAGAGAGAACGACCCCGACTGGTACGAAGCCTGCAACCCAGCACTGCCTGACGCCCGCGGTCTCGTACCTGTAGCCTTTTTCCAAGCATTAGGCCGAACCGAAAGAGATAGTGGCCAGTCTGACGGTGCTATGCCCCGACCGCCAACCATGTCTCCGACAATTTCCAAGAACCCCGATCACGACTCCGGCTATGCCGAGACTGCGCCGCCCCCCGGCGCAATGCAGTCACCACCCGCAACTCAGCCGACGCAGCGTATGTCCAGGTCCGGCAGCAGGTCCGGCGCGATGGTTTACGGTATCGTCATGTACGACTTTGTGGCGGAGCGCGCCGACGAGCTGGAGGCCAAGGCTGGCGAGGCCATCATCGTCATTGCTCAATCCAACCCCGAGTGGTTTGTCGCCAAGCCTATCGGCAGACTAGGAGGACCAGGCTTGATACCCGTATCTTTTGTCGAAATACGCGATATGGCGACGGATACCGCCGTTGGAGACGCCTCCGGAGCCATCAAGAAGGCCGGCATTCCCAAGGTTGAGGAATGGAAGAAGATGGCGGCCGACTACAAGAACAGCAGCATCACACTGGGCAAGTTCGACAATGGTCAACCGCAACAGGGCGGCTCCATCGAGCAAGGAATGGAACGCATGAGTCTTCAACAAGGCGGCGGGCGCACCAGTTCACAGAACGGTGCCAGCCATGTATGTTTCTCCTCGTCATCTCTCTTGCAATCCTTGAAGCTAACGCTCGTGACACAGCAACAGCAAGCTGGTTACCAGCAATCACGCAACTCTCAACAAGCTGCCCAACCGAGCCCCTACGCCAAACCAGCCTCGCAGCTCTATGCTCCCATCTCAGCCCGCATTCCGAGATACTGCTTTGCGGAAGACAAGTACTGGTTCGTCATTGAAGCAGTGCTGGAGGATGGCCGTCACTGGGAATTGTCCAGATATTACGAAGACTTCTATGACTTCCAGATTGCCTTGCTCACCGAATTCCCCGCCGAGGCAGGAAACACCGGCACGCAAAAGCGCACACTTCCCTACATGCCTGGTCCGGTAAACTACGTCACAGACCAGATCACGGAAGGCCGGCTACACAACCTGGATGCCTACGTCAAGAACCTCCTCGCGCAGCCAGCCTACATCGCAAGGTGTACCCTTGTGAAGCAATTCTTCGCTCCTAGGGAAGGCGACTACGAAATCGATCCTAATGCGCCGAACGACGAATACCGACTATCGGGCGGCTCGCAGCCTTCATCGAACGAATCACCAGCAGATGCGGCTTCACGACAATCGTCCAAGAATAATCTGAACGGCAATGGCTACGGTGCTCAACAACGAGCAATGGGTCAGCCCGGAATGAACCGGCAGCCATCGTCTATTTCGCAGTCGCAGCCTTCACCTGCCATCGGCCAAGGTCAAGTTCAAGCCATGAAGATCAAGCTCTACTTTAACGGCGATCTTATTGCAATCCGAGTTGCAACAGACATTTCATTCCAGCAGCTGTACGACAAGATTGTGGACAGACTCAAAATCCCCGTTGGCGAAGAGATCCAGCTTTTCTACAAGGACGAACCCACTGGCGACAAGCCGAACCTCATGAGCGACAACGACCTCGACTACGCGTTGCAAAGGAACGAGAAGCTCCTTCTCTATGTCGAGCAGGTCTAAGGCTCAACAAGGTGCTATTCGGCTCGGACTTTTTTCCTGGATGGTTTTCGCGACTACTTGAGAGACAAAAGCATACCCCACCCGCCATTGCATTCTCACTTTATGATTCCCAGCGCACGCGACGCGTTGCTATCTACTGTCTTATTACACAGGCGATGGCTGATTTTCACTTCTATATTGTTTTCTCCTAGTAGCTGGACTCGATATACGACCATGATGCGCCAGTGGATCGACTCTCCTTCGCACAAGCGGCTACGCTCCTTTTTTTTTTTTTTTTTTTTTACACTTCTTTGGCCCTCGACAGGGGCCCCCACTTACGATTTTCTTTTTGATGGTTATTGACGTTGATGATGGGGAAAAAGAACTATTGATACAGCCCTCGAGGGTTTACGTCTGTCCAAGAGTTTCTCAAAAAGACGCAAGACGGATTTGTTTCCACCACGAGGACCACGGAGAGAGGATATTGGCGGGCGTTTATTGGTCAGACGGCTGACTTGAGCCGTCACAATTTTTATTTTAGCATGAGGCCCTTTCTCAACAGGATTTCCCTTGGGCGGTCTGATCATGATTCCTCGCGCATAGTGCACGGGGGAAAAGATCGGTTCAGGGGAGCCCCTCTGATGATGAGCGAACGAACGTTAGGACGAATGCGGATGAGGTTCGGACAGACGGGCAAGGGATGGGCCCTATAACCCGTATTTTAGCCAGAGATGAATCAAGACGAGCCTGTTCAACGAGTTCTTTCTCAAACGTGAGGATGCTGACGATGTGCACGAGCCGATGGCGTGTAGACGACTCCCCATCCTTCCTTAAACCTCACCTTGCCCCACAAGTGAGTACACATCACAGCCCAGCCGTCCGTCTCTGGCGCATTCCAACCCTCACCCATCCCTCGTTTGCCTCTATAATAAACAACACCACCTCATTCCATCACCAAGACCCGTATCGTAGCCGGGAATAGTCACCTGGTTTCTGAATTGTTCCCGCACCCATGGGTCCCGGGTTCGCGTCCCGTCTTCCGTCTTTGTAAAAACATCCTTGCATCGTTACACCTGAGGCTGGTAAGAGTCTCCTCGGATCTTTCTAGGCTTTCCCTGTTATAGGAGGGCCGAGCTTGTTGCTTTCTTGTTTGTCGTGATGACTGATTCAGGATGGGACAAGTGGCGAGATATATATAGACAGACGGCAGGTTGATAAACGGCTGCTAGACTTTGACGTTCATAGGATTCATTATCAAGGTACCTTGTGATAATACCTAGGTTGAAGTAGCAGCGCCCTCCCCCGGCCCTAACACTTATGCATATATATATACACACTACACACGCGCAACGTGACTTGGGGGGTTTTCCCCCTTGATACCTCGAAACCTTCCTATTCCCCTATCCGATAGCAAAAAGCTTTTTTTGTTTTGTGAAAGTGGTGATTGGTCCATCGCCTACTATTATCCTCCAAAGGTATGTCGATACTCAACCGAAATATTGGATTACCAACTCCTAAGTATCGCTCGCCAGGGGATTTTGGGTTTTCGTTCAATAATCACTCCGCTCCCCTTTTGCCAACCCCCATCATACCCTTCCCAGTCTTCTGCGATTAAGTGGCCCTAGACCACAACATGCGTAGACATATGCTCAACAGCCTCCTTAATCGTCCTAAGCATCCGCTGATTCACGCAAAACGGGCACCGTAGCGGCCTCTCGTTCGCCGAGACCGGATCATCATTCTTAATAGGCGTCAGGTTCAGCTCCGGCGTAGACGGCATAAACCGGTTCGACGCAGACACGACCCTCTGCACGGCGGGCGTCGCGAGCGCCGCAGCAGCAGTCCCCTGCGCGCGCTCCCGCTGCTCGCGCTCCTCTCTCGCCGCGGCCGCCGTGGCCTCGGCTTCGGCTTCCTCCTGCTGCAGCTGGCGCAGCGCGTTCTGGAGGACAATGTCCGGGTCCTCGTCGCCGTACATGGGCGTGTCGCTTCCCGGTGGCGGGGGCGGCGGCGGCGGCGGGCCGACGAGGCTTGTGTCGGCGCTGTGGGGGTCGGGGGTATGTTGGATGCCCGAGGTGGGGGACATTGGATTCGTCGTCGTCGCGGGCCCGCCGGCGCTCAAGCGGCGCAGGACCTCATCGCGGACGAGGGCGCAGACTTGGAGGCTCGCTTCGACGCCGAGGGCGCGGAGGATGGCTTCGCGGATGGCGGCGGGGGAGGTTTCGGCGGAGAGGGCCATGAGGCGGGGCACGCAGTCTGCGAGGTAGGCGATGTCTTCGGCCGGGTTGATGCCGCCGTCGCCGTGGCGGCGCTGGCGGCGTATGAGCAGGCCGTAGCGCTTCTTGAAGCGGTGGATCCAACCGGGGGAGAACTCGGGGGGCGTCTCGTCTTTATAGCGCGGCAGGGCGGTGAAGATTGCTTTTGCCTTTTCGCCGAGCTCTTCGTTGGTCGGGTGGCGGCCGGTGGCCTGGACCTGTTGGTACCATCGCAGGACGAGCTTCTCGACGTCGGGCCAGTTGCCGAAGCGCAGGCGGCTGCCGCTCAGCTGGGGGTTGTCGCCATCGAGGCGGGAGTATTTGGGGCTGAGGGAGTGGGAGACGGTGGACTGGGAGATGTGCTGGCCGTACTGGGCGTAGAACCAGTCGATGCAGGCCTTGTGGCTGGGGCGGATCGTCTGGGCGTTAGCCCAGCGGCGAAGGGCTCGTCGTTGGTCGAGGGTGAGGGAGTGACGCTCCTTGGGGGTGCCGCCGACGGGGCTGCCGGTGACGTCCGGGTCCGGGCCGCCGGGGAGGACGTCGGGTTGTTGGGAAGCGTGGTGGAGTTCGTGGGCGGCGTCGTGGTGTGCGTCTTGGGTGTGGTCGTGGTCCGACATGGTGGACGAAAAAGACTTCTTTTTTTTTTCTCGCTCCTCTTCCGTTTTGGTGACTATCCTCCCGATGCCTCGACGCGCGCGTCCACCACTACCGGAACCGCGATTTGCGACGAACGGGGGTTTAGGTCCTCGCAACAAAGCCCGTGTATTGAGGTAATGTGAATATGTGCAAGACGCGGGGGGGAGGATGTTTAATCGGGTGGAGGGGGGGCCGAGTGGTCGGGGTGTGTCGTCGTGTAGTTTAGAAGAATCGTTGTATCCGTTTACGAAGTGGTGGAAGGGGGGAGGGGGGGGGAGTTTTGGTTAAGGAAGAGGAGGGAGCAAGCTGGGAGAGGGAAAATGTGGGAAAGCGCAAGTGTTTAGCTGCAAAGCGAAGCGAGGGCCGTACGAATTGCGAGTGTTGCACGGCTTATTCAGCCAACCCACCAGTTCCGCCAAGGTTGCATGTCACTTGTTTATGCATCCAATGAGCTGCAACTACAAGTACTCCGTACCCCGGTACCACAATGGCCCTCCCTCCATTGCTCTCCAACCTTCCGTGGACTTCAGGCGCCCGGACTCTCGGGGTGCCTGGTCCAAGCTTCTCTGCGTGGGTTGCATCAATTCGCAGCTGTCATTTACGGATAAGTTTCATATCCGTTTTGCAATTGGATCACTCTGTTGACATCGGACATGCATTCGGCGTAATGCCAGTAAACGAAGTTGATGATCCAAAGGTCATTTTATTGTGTACTTCACGCTTAAGAAACACGTATCATGACTATTTCCTTTTGTCAAGGGCAATGCAAACCAAGCAAGCTCGCCATCCAATGTCAATTGTCAAGTCTATCTATGTAAGAAAAGATGCTATCCGTACTTTTCCCTAATGCTGATTGCTCCTCCCTCATATTCATGCCACATGTTGAGGGTGTGTCGCACTTCATTAATGCAAGTCCCAATCCCAACTCCCAATGCCGAGCCAACCAAAGAGCCAAAAAATCAGGACCCCCTCCAGATTAAACAAAATCAAAGAACTGAAATTCCCCCCCCCGCTGCGACGCATAGGCCTCGTCGCTCTCACACAGACATCTTCATGGCAATCGTCTTATGCGGCTCATACCCCTTGACCATAAAATCCTCAACCTTCCACCCGTCAATGCTGCACCCCGGCTCCCTGTTGTTGATCTCCAGCATGGGGAAGTCTCTCGGCTCGCGCTCCAGCTGCACCTTGAGCGCGTCCACGTGGTCCGCGTAGACGTGCGCGTCGCCCATGACGTGCGTGAGGCTCCCCGGCACCAGGTCGCACGCCCGCGCAATCATGTGCGTCAGGAGCGCGTAGCTGGCAATGTTGAAGGGCACGCCGAGTCCCATGTCGCAGGACCGCTGGTACAGCTGGCAGTGCAGGTGGCCCTTTGGCTTCGTCTGCTCCTCTCCGTTTGCGGGCGTGGCGGTGCCGCGGCCGCGCGGGTACGAGACGTAGAACTGCGCAAACATGTGGCACGGCGGGAGGGCCATCTTCTTCAGGTCCGCTGGGTTCCACGCGCTGAGGAGGATGCGGCGATCGTAGGGGTTCGTCTTGAGCTTGTGGATGACCTCGGCCAGTTGGTCAACGCCTTGGCCCGTGTAATCCGTCTCGGAGTCGACGTACTCGGCGCCAAAGTGGCGCCATTGGAAGCCGTAGACGGGACCGAGGTCGCCGACTTCGCGGTGTGAGAGGCCGACGCTGTCGAGGAACTCGCGCGATCCGTTGCCGTCCCAGATCTTGACGCCTGCTTCGCTCAGGGCGAGCGATGATGTGTTGCCCTCGACGAACCACAAGAGTTCGGCGATGACTGCGCGGAGGAAGACACGCTTCGTTGTGAGGAGGGGGAGGAGGGGCTCGCCGTCCTTGTTGAGGGAGAACTTGAGGGGAGGAGGGGCGAAGATTGAGTAGGTGCCGGTGCCAGTTCTGTTGTTTTTGTCAACCCATGGTCATAGGCGCTTGTGCTTGCTTTCTTATTCTTACCTGTCCGGACGGTGCTCCCCTTCGTCGAGGATCTCGCGAACAAGATCGAGGTACTGGTATTCCTCATGGCGCTTGGCGGGGGCAGCGACATTCTGCTTCTTAGGGTTCTCGGGAACAGACATGTTTGCGGATTCAACAGCTGCAGGTGCCATTGTTGCGTCCAAGGTATGGGGAAAGAAAGCAAGTTTCTGGAGATTCTTCAGATTGAGATGTCTCCTACGAAATGGAATGCCCCGCGGAAGACGCGTCTTGACGCGTCTCATTAAAGTGCACTCTGCTGACTAAGGGGCTCGCAACTGATAAGATAAGCCCTGCCGAGAGCAAGGGTCTTGCTGGCTGCAGCGTCTCTATGCGCCGGAGCTTGTTCCATCTCTGCTGAACTTTTGGCGAATAGGAACATACAATCCGACCAGTCTGAGCTGAGAAGTCGTTTCAACATCATCTCGGTAGACTCAGCCGTCGGATCTTTCCTATTCGCCCCTGACGTTCATGTGTGATGGGAATTCGGGATTTTGTCATGTCCATTTGCTTGAGACTTACTCGGTGATGATGTGGTTTTCTCTTCTCCCATTACAGGTCACTGCCTGGTGTGACGGACTTACACGATATACGGACTGCTGAGTTCTATCGACTTACAGAGTTCACATATTCAGCAAAGGCTTTGAATCTACGAGTCGTCTCTGAGAAAGCTGGGCTTTCTTGTCAAGCAGCGTAGACTGTCTGTCTACGGGACCGCGGTGCCCCGGGATTCAACCCCTCCATCCACTCGTCATACGCCTCTTCGTTTCCTTCGAGGTATCCTCTCACACCAAGCAGCTTGCCAAAGTTGCCCTTCCAAGGACATGCCTCTGGAATAACACCAAACCCCAGGTCCGAACGATGAACATCACCATCACCGTCCCACCGGGAACCGTCAACCACGGCGACCCAAGACTCATCTGCACGCCTCCCATCTGGACCGACTTTGTCATATTCTACGCAACAAACTACTTTGTCCACGCCCTCACCCTCCCCAGCCGGCCCGGCGAGTCCATCCTCGAGACCTGCTTCACCGTCCTGACGGCCCTGTTCTTACCCAGCACCGGCTCCCTGCGCGCCGCACGCTGGCTGCTCTCCCACGCCGGCACAGTTAGGCGCGACGAGCTCAGCCGGGCCATCAGGGCCGGCGCGCTGTGCATGGTCGTCGACGAGACAGAAAGGTCCAAGGTCTCGTGGATTGAAAGGTCGTTGAGGCGGATGAACTTTGAGAGGGCGCGAAGCTGGTAAGTGTGTCAACATACTCCTGATTTAGAGTATTGCAGCATTTCAAATCACTAGGCATGTTTTCCTGTGACTAACTTTGTTCATGCTAAAAGGTACGATATTCCCACCCCCTCATGGTATCGGTCTCGCTTTCGCGGCGCCGGCCGTTGGGTACATTCTTCCCGGACCATCCACGGGACCTGTGTCCTGCCCAAGGGCTTCATCTTGGTCGAGGTGCCCGTCGGTACGCCGTTGATGCCGCCTCCAGGGTCGGGGGCCGCGTACCTCGATCGCTCCAACATCCAGCTGGGCAGCACGTACAACATCCCCAAGGCCTTATTTGCCCTGGGGCAAGCCGCGTGGGGCGTGACGACCGTCTACCGCACGCAGGGCGACCAGCTTCAGAGGTATGGGTATGCTGCCTTTGGGGTGACTGTGGCGCCGTATGCGTTCATGTCTCTGGTCAACTTGATTGCGTTGCTTGTTACGCCGGAGTATAACTGTATTTACCTTGTACATACCCCCGATCTCGACAAGGCGAAGAGGTTGGGGGGCAGGTTCTCCGGGATGGTTGCCAGCGTCGATCTTGACAGCATCAAGGAGCCGTTGCGGACGTTCTGGCCTTCTCAAGCGGCTCATGCATCGTACTTTGCCGTCACGACGGTACTTCTTCTGGTTCCAGCCATTCTCGTCGCGGGCGTGACTGGATTTAGCCCTGGACACAGCAACATCTACCAGCAAGTATGGATCCTCAGTTGGCTCATCTTTGGCATCGTCATGGGCCCGGTCATCAGGATGCTCACGGTGTTTCCCTCCGAGATACATGGCGTCTACAAGATTCGTGCCAACGACGCGATAGCGTATGCTCTTGATAGGGCGACTTTCATGCAGCGGGCGATAGACTGGTTGGTTGCGAAGTATTTTCGCATCATCGAGACTTCGTTCTATCTATATGTCATAACTGGCGCGGCGATTTGCTTTACTCCTGCGATAGGGGGCATGGTTGTCGTTGGACAGATGTTGCAAGAGTTTGGTGTGTGTAGACGGCTAGATACGACTGGGCAAGGAGGCTTTTAGAGTACTTATATACGGACGAAGGTAGTCACTGTTGAAACAATATTCCCAAGCCTTTGAACTTGATTACTCACGGCCGTCAAGGCCAGTGACCCATCGTGATCTTGCGACCTGTGGGTCTTCTCATCCATTGTTTCTTCGTCACATTCGTTCACTATCAGTGTAAACAAATGCTTGGCCGACGCCATCTGATCTGTACTAATTCAACATGTTTCCTGAGGTTCATAGTGCAAGGTCCCATTCCATTTAGGATATTAAGTTAGGACACTAACACGATAGGTATAAACGGAAACATAACTCACTTTCTATACCAGAGTCAAGGAATTTGGAATCCATTGCAATGAGAAGATACCTCATGACAACTAGGGAGTCACCTATCATCTCAGACGTTGACACCTGTCCCCCTCACTTCTACGTAGTTACCGAGCACCAACTCATACAATCCATTCAAGTGTTCAACACCTCCGAATCCAACTTTGATAATCGTTCAGGACGAGCCTTATTGGTTTACATGGGCACTCCCGTCAGGTGAACGCCTGCACTGGATTCTCTCGTCAAAGTGGATTTGTTCAGGGGCAGTCTCATCAAATTCAATCCTATTTGAGCAAAACTGGGGATAGGGCTGAGAATAAGTTCCTCAAAGTAAATCAGATTATGCCATCGCATGCATATCAATCTTCAACTGCGCCTAGGAAGCACAATCTCCCAGCCGCCGCCTTGTTGTGTTGTCTGATCAGCAGTCCAATCCATGTTTTGTCCATAGCATGAGGCGGATGTTCAAGGGTAAACGTATAACGATGGCAGAACGCGATTAACCGGGCTGGCGGGCTCACACACCTGTGTAATACTACCATTTCCATGGCTGTGTTACTCAATAAGTAGCTTGGCCAGTTTCAACATGTCTAGCTTTCAAAGGCTTCTTTAGACCTAGGGAATAATCTCATACTTGGGTTATGTTGAGACTTTGCTTCGGCCACGCCGACTTTCAAAGGCAGCCACAGACATCCAGAGCCTTGCCCATCCCCCAGCCTACTATCACACAGTCAAGTGCTAGTCTCATCTCTTGATTCAAATGCACTACGGGCTGGATCAAAGGTCGTCTCACGACGCTACATGCATTCCACGCTAGTTCTTGAGCCTACTATACACCCATGCTTCCGACATCTCCCTCACCCCCTTGAAAGCAAGAGTAAATATCATAAAGACTTTCGAAAGCCACAACTGATCTCGGTTGTCACGGTCACTCGACTATATCTTAAATCAACTCCGGGCTAGCAACTGAATGGTCACTGCGATCACCCAAAAGCTGGAGACTCCACAACCTCTGCTCGGCGCAAATAAAGACCGTGTCATCTGGCCCGCGACAGAAGCTCATGACACCACCTATCAAACATGCCACGTTAGTATAGGTTCAGCGCACATAAGCCCAAATTCCATATTGGGATTCGTCAAACTTGCCTGGAACCGAAATCACACCAAGCAATGAACCGTCATGGCTCCAAATCTCGATGCCGTCGCCGCAGGCCGCCCACACGTAGCCGTTCTCGCACATGAGGTGCATGGGAGCACCCCTCCTAGCCAGGGCAAAAAGCCGCCTATTCGCCAGGAACACGGAACCACTTCGCTTCACGATATCAAAAGCGTAGATGCTCCGCGGTCTCAAAACATCCAGTCAGTGTCGAGAAATCACTCCAGTACGCGGGAAACAAAGGACTCACTCAGTCAAGTCGAGACTCCCATCAACACGCACCCCACCTGCATCCGCAACATACACCGTCGAAAATGCCTCATCAATCGCAATCCCAGTCGGCCGCTTAAACCCATCCGCCATGGCCCTCACCTCCCCGCTCTTCGGATCACAACGATACACCTGCGGCGGCAACTGAGGACGAGCCCTAAAGTCCTGCTCGTGCCCGCAGCACGGATCCGTGAACCAGATCCCGTTGTCCCGAGGCGAGACGGCGGCGCTGTGCGGGGAGTTGAAGTCGTGGCCGTAGTAGCCGGATACCACCCGCTGCGGGGGGTTACCCGCCGGCATCAGGAGCACGCCGCCTGTCTGCGAGGCCATTGTCCCCTGGGAACACCATACTGCGACGTCGTCTCCGACTACACAGCCGCCTGCAGGCATGGGCATGTCTTGAGGCGGACGCATCTTGGCCCATTCTACGGCGAGGGTGTTGTTTGTCCGGTTGGGTTTCACTTTGACCTTTGACATGAGGATTGTGGGGGGCCGCGTGGGGTCAGTTGCCGCTAGGGGCGCGGAGGTCGTCCATAGCTCTTTTCTGGAGGGGACATAGACGCATCCGCGGTGGAAGAAGGCGTTGGCGGAGGTTTCTGTCGAGGAGAGGAGGAGGGCGTGAGTTGGGTTTGGGCCGATGATGGAGGCGAGAGCGGGGTCGTATTGGATGATTGAGATGCCCGCCTATGAAACACCACTTTAGTAGAGTAGGGTTGATGTCAATGAGGGTCGAGATGCTCACCTTGTTTGAATTTGGACGTGATGCTGGCGTTGGACTGAGACGATCGCCTATCTACTTGATGGTTAACATCTAGATCTGAGTGATTGGCGCTAATGATGAGCCATAAAGGAAGATCTTCTCACTTCAACTGGAGTCGCAACGGACTTAATGTTAGTCTCTTGAATTGTTGTCATGGTGAAGATGCTCTGTTTGCACGCATATTTTCTTGGTTGTTGTTTGTGGTAAGTTGCATTATCAGCAACACTACTCGGCAGAGCTAAATTACCTCTAGGGACCCATTTGGATCGGGAAGCACCTTTACGGCAAACACCTGAAAATGACGACAATTTGCCATTTCTTTCTTAACAGTAAATTTCTGTTACTTTGAGCTGAAAAGTAGCGTGAAAAGTTCGAATCAGTCCCGCGTCTAAGATGTACCGGCTTGCCATGAGCTCCGGCACGGGGTATTAATGCCGTGACTGGGGCCGAAACGGCGCGGATCATGTGGATAGAGTTTACTGGCGCCGAATCGGGCTTACACAACCTGCTCCGCCGTCCCGACGCCAACATCGGGTTTATGGCCGTACGATTAACTAAGTCCGGCGATCAACTCATGGCGAGATACACTGTAAAGCACTGCGCAATGATATAAAATCATTCATAGAGTCTGTTGCAAGGATTCAGATGCCAAGCATCTTGTATTCCAGTGCAGTCACTATGGCTATCATTCTTGTCACTGGCGCGAATAGAGGAATTGGGTTTGGCATCGTCCAGGCGATCGCCGGTCGAGTTGGCAACTCCGCCATCCTCGTCGGATGTCGCACACATGAGTCTGGCGAAGAAGCGGTCCGCAAATGGAGAGACATCGACATCAAACAAGCTCTAGATGTAGTCCCTTTTGATATTGAGGATGATGCCAGCATTGTCGCCGCTGCTGCCATCGTTCAAGAGAAGTATGGGAAATTAGATGGTGGGATACCAACTGTCTTCTCAATACAATCCGAGCACCTTACTCACAGCATCAGTTCTGATCAACAATGCCGCCAGAGTCACCGCTCCCGAATCACTCGACCTTTCCGATGTTCGGTCCGCAACCAACTCCGTGCTCGCAAACTGTGTCACCTCAAATCTCATCGTCACTCAAGCGTTCCTTCCGCTTCTTCGCAAATCCGAATATCCTCGAGTCATCATGACCTCGAGTGCTCGAGGCAGCATGACAAGAACAGCGAATGGGGAGGTAGGCACACATCACTCCCAACTCTTCACAGTAGCAAGCCTGTCTCACAGAACACACAGCTTCCACCGGCGGCATCTATCAACTATTGCATGGCAAAAGCTGCGTTGAATATGCTCACCCTGCAACTCCATCTGGCCGAGGAGAGAAGGACGACGGATGATAAGATCGTTTTCTGGGCAACTAGCCCCGGGCACTGCAAGACAGCTTTCAACGGGTTTCGCGGCTCCAAAGAGCCGGTGGATGGAGCAGAAGTCTTTGTACGATTGTTAGAACCAGAAAGGGGCACCATTGCCTCGGGAACGTTTTGGGAGTTTGAAGACGGCGATTTCAGATTGGTCCCCTGGTAATCCTCTCCTATCAATTGAATCATCCATCTTGCGTCCAAGCTACTGCCGCTGGATAAAGATCGTGAAAAAATGCGTATTGATATCGACTTCGAGTCACCTTCGCGGTACACGTCGTCGTCGTGTGTTTTGCTGGTCAGAAAATGTCTTCATTCCCATCAACCAAGCCCTCTATGAATACACTAGTCGCAAAAAGAGACCACTGACTCGCCCGGATATCGCCCGTCTAGTGTTTCGCCTTCTCGTCCTTGTCCGCGCTGTCCAAGAACTTCCTGTTTGTCTCCTCGTCAGCAAATGGGGGGTGAATTCCTGTCCATCCAGGGGAAATGACGCACTTGATGAAGTCGGCCTCGTCGGAGCTGGATGCGTTGATGGGGGGAGCGGCAGTGGCTTTGGGCTTGCTGCCGCTGGTGCCGTAGAAAGCGCCGCCGAAGAGGGTCGCGAGGACGCCCATGGCCAGCTACGCGTAGAGAGAGAGGTTAGCCTTTGCATGCTCGGGGGCCGGGTTCGGGAGTTGCAGGGAGCGAAGGCGCGCTCTCGGGATAGCGACATACGTAGTGGGAGCCAATCTGGCGGCCGGCAATAGTGTACATCTGAACCATTTTGGCGGTATTAGGGGGTTTGCGAGCCTTCGGGGGTGAATTGGTTCGATGGGGTGGAGGCAATTGGAGTTGGATGAGATTCGTCGTGGATGTCGATACTCGGAGCTCGAAATTCGTTCGGAAGCTAGAGAATAGAGTGCCTGGAATATCAGGCCACCTCGTTCAGCTCTGAGCCTCTGGCCAGTATCGGGAGAGCGGGGATCTCCAGCCACCGACATGTGACCCCGTACTGCTGCTGCGCCACAGACGGATAAGTTTATGCAAGTGACTCCGGTGGCTCAAGCTCCCGATGCACCTTTCTGAACCAAGCAGCAGCCGACGTCACAACCGACATCAGAAGATTCATGCCGCGGGCGTTTCCGGCGCGCGCTGGCGCAGGGCGAATTCCCCTTGGCCATTAGGCTCCCCTCCCCTAGCACAACCGCCATCCATGCACACATAAAGCTGTCAACGCCCCCAAAAGAGAACTTGGGTGGTAATAGCTCAGATTCAGACGAAGTAATCCGTACATCAACACCAAAAGTATACAACATGTGGGGAAGAAGCCAAGACAAGACACCAGAACAACCGAAAGAGTCGCCAAAGGAAGATGGCGCCAAGACATTCGACCCCAACAAGCTGCCGGCACAAAAGAAGTTGCCGGCGGCGTTGCAGAAGATAGTCGACAAGTCGGATCGAGAGGACAACTTCTTCGACGAGCTGGTGGACGGGTAGTGAGTGCCGACCGTTGCGACAGAACTAGAATGCTGAGTTGACTTGCGACAGTGCGCCCGAGTCCACCGAGTCCAACGTCCGTTACGCCGCCTATGTGACGCGCATCCGCACCATCATGATGTCGGCTCACCGATACGTCGCCTACACCTCTGATATTGGCGAATCCTTCCGGCCCGTCGCGCATCCCGGTCTCGTCCGCACTGCCTACGGAATATCATGGCTCTACATCCTCGGCGACGTCAGTTACGAGGGCTACAAGGCATACTGGGCTAACCAGCGTGTCCTCAACCCGCACCTTCAGCTTACAGCGCGGCAAGCAAAGATCACGGGACTGCCGGATGCCGTGTCAGATGCGACGCACCCCAACGAAGTGGTCCCGGGTGGCAAGGTTGCGCCGCTGGACGACTACAGGACAGTCATGATCCAGCGAGGCATCTTCCAGAGCATTGCCAGTATGGGTCTCCCGGCTTTCACCATTCACAGCGTCGTGAGGTACTCTGGCCGAGCCCTCAAGAACGCAAAGAATACGAAAATAAGGACCTGGGGCCCGATTGGTCTCGGCCTTGCTGTCGTACCCTTCTTGCCCAGCCTTTTCGACGAGCCGGTCGAGAACGCTGTGGAGTGGATCTTCCACAAGGGCTTTGAGTCGTATGGTGGCAAGGAGTTTGTTGGCAATGCACCAGCCACCGGTCGTGAAGACCTATTGGCGAAGAGGCCGAAGGAAAAGGAACTGTAGACGTGGCGTTTGAAATGATTCGGATCACAACTCAATGGGATTAGACTCGGCGCATGAAGGAAATCTCCAATTAAAGGAACATGGCACGAAGGAAAGCGATTGACACAGCCTTTATTTGGCGGCGTGTGGTGTTGTAATTGAGGGTATATACGGAAAATGCCACTATGAACATATTTATCAAGTCATCATCATTCGCTAAACCTCCATGAGGTCAGGCGGCGGCCCAACGCCACGGAGCAGGACGACGGTGTTGCCGCTAACCAGCGAAGCTCCTACCTTTTCGTTGAACTCCAGAAGTCGTCCTCCCTCCACGTGGAACACCCGTAGCTTGTCCTGCTCATTCGACGATCGGTTGTTGAGGTTCTCCACTTGTAACCGCTTCGCGGCTTCGTCCAGGACCCTACCCACCACCCAGTCCTTGGAGAAGAAGAACTCGCCCTTGGGAAACTTTGCTTTTGCGGTTGCCGCTTCTGCTTCGACGTAAAGGTAGACTCTCTTCTCTTGCGCCAGCTTATCGTCGCCCTTTGCCGTCTTCTTGAGGCTGTTCACGGCTATCAGGCGCGCAGACGCGGATGTGGGTTTCGGTTTCGGTAGTGCCCTGCCAGCTTGTTCCTTCTTTGCACTTCCCCAGGCCTTGAGCTTGTCGAATGCGCTCTTCGTCCGCGCCGCGACGTCAATCTGTGATCCTGGCCGCGCGCCGAGCGGAACGAGTTTCTTGCAGTCGTGGTCCTCCTTCAGACGATGCTTGAGGCAGTAGTCGCGATTACAACCCGGGCAGTGGACGCCGGTCACCAGCGAGGTACCGATGGTGGTCTTGCAGGTCGGTGATGCGCAGGGCTTCTGGGTGACGGTGTCGCGCAGTTGGCGGCCTTGGCCGTAGGAAGGTTTCGCGAGCTCCGCCTGTCGCCGGCGTTGTGCCCAGGCGCCAGCGTTGGCGCACTTGTGTGTGGTTTCGGATCGGTGGTCGAGGCAAAAGGTGTGTTTGCAGCTTTGGCAGAAGAAGGGGAGGAAGTCGAGCTGGTTGCAGTATTCGTATTCGCAGTGCTTGCCGACGAGGGTCTCGTCGAAGCCGTCTTTGGATTCGTCCATCTTGACGTAGCTCGTCTCTTCGGGGGTGGATGAGGATGCCATTGCGATGACGTGTTTGGCTTTTCTCTCTATTTATCTATAATATTCAACAGTCGTCGGGGACAGGTGTGAGCTTGCGTAGACCTCAGTGAAGGCGCAGCGGGTGGCACGAGGCTGAGGGTGGCAGTATCGGAGAGGGCGATGTCGGGTTGATGAGAAATGGCGGCGGAAGGGTCTGGAAGGCGCCAGTTGGCGGGTTTCGCTCAGTTAAGTTGACTCAATCCACGGGTCGCTGTCAGCGGGGCAACCGCTGAGCGCAGGCGCCAAGTACAGCGTGTGCGTGGCCACTGGCAGCCTGAAAAGGGTAAGATCCATAATGGGCCATAGCTATCAAGTCAAGTTGCAACTTTATCATGATGGGAGCTAATTCGGCATAGCAGATCACAATGGTCAATGAAAGCTTCCGTATCATGCCGAGGGAAGTTCAACTTCTCTGTGGACATTGGTCATCCAAACTGCTCTGATTGAAAGACATGGAAATAACGGCGAGGGGCCGGAGCTAATGGAGGGGCGACCCAAGCGATCCCCGGATGCGACCCGTAATTCAATCGGATCCGATCTAGCGGGTCCCGGACCCCTAGAGTGGGTCGCGTACCTGCGCGTTTCTCGCGAATCAATGACGTTGTTAACGGTGCTGTCGCATCTCCCCTGCAAAGCTTCTCAGAGCTTGACCTTTAGAACAACAGCCATGTTTCTTTCCTGACACGAAACGCGACACAATGCCTCCTCATGTGCCGCGCAAGCGGTTGCGCGAGGAGTCGCCGGTCAAGCCTACCCCAAGCGCCAACAAGTAGCGAAAGGGCAGGGAAAGCCTGCCGCCAGCTCCGGCCGCAGAAAGCCTACCTTGTACGACGATTTGGATGCTACCACCACGCCTGAGTCATCCAAGGTCGGCCGCTCTGCGCTTGATACCATCAGCGACAGTGAAGAGTCCAGTTCTTTGAGCGACCTATCCGACGGTGATTTTGAGGACGTGCTTCTTGCAAACGGTCGCAAGACTGAGGAAGCGTCCGATGATGACGACAACGACGACATCGAGTTTGAGGATGTTCCTGCCCCGAGAACCACCTTGGCGGTAGCGCCGACTACTTCAAAAGACTTGCAGCTCACCCTTGATGCCGGGCTCGGTACTGCCATGACCGATCCCTATGGCGACAAGAAGGGACCTACGAAGCGTGAAAAGAAGGTTCGGAATGTAACGCATTGCATTCACGTCCAGTACCTTCTCTGGCATAATGCCCTTAGGAACTCATGGGTATCCGACCAGGAAGTCCAGGCAATCATGATGTCTCATGTCCCCCCTCGTTTGTGGGAAGAAGTGGAGCGATGGAGAAGGACCAGCGGCTTAGACACCAAGCCAAAGCCAACACCGACCAAGGCGGCCAAACCAGCGAAGAAGACCAAGGGAAAGGGCAAAGGAAAAAAGACCGAAAACGAGGACTCTCGTGATTGGGGCGCTGCCGCTGAAAGGCTCGAGGCAGGTGCTGTCGACATGAGCCACGGCGATCCTCTGTTCAGACTTATGAGGGCTCTCGCGGCGTGGTGGAGGCAACGGTTCCGTGTCACTGCACCCGGGATTCGAAAGTGGGGATACATGCCGCCTGAACGACTTGGCAGATTTCGAAAGGCCTGGGAGAAAGAAGGGCAAGACCAGGAAAAGTTTGGAGAGCGGATCAATGGCCTCGAAGGGTTTCGGAAATGCGCCCAAGACTGCACAGGAAGCCGTGATGTGGGATCACAGCTTTTCACGGCGCTTATGAGGGCTTTGGGGTTGAAGGCACGCATGGTTGCAAATCTTCAACCCGTAGGCTTCGGTTGGACGAAGCTTGAGGAGGCAGATCCTGAGAAGGAAAAGACTGCAGTTTCAGCGGCAAAAAGTAGTGACGAGACGAGCGAGGCGACAGATGGCGCGGCGAGCAAGACGAAAAGGGGGACGAAGACGACGGCTAAGAATACCCCAGCGAAGACGACTTCAAAGCAGACACCAAAAACAACATCAGCACGGAAAGCTGGCACAAGACGAGCTAGTACTAAGAGCGCCGTCGTTGAGATAGATGACTCGGATGATGAACTTGGCTTGGAGCATCCGGACAGCGACGACGAGTCCGTCATAGAGTTGGGAGTGACCCCAAGAAAGTCAACATCGGCGTCGAAGAAGTTCGACAAGGACCTCGAGTTTCCACACTATTGGACGGAAGTGTTATCGCCGGTGACGAAGAAATATCTGCCAGCCGACCCAATCGTCAAGAATATTGTCGGTACTAATCGAGAACTGGTTGAGTCTCTGGAGCCACGTGGAGGCAAGGCAGAAAAGGCGAAACAAGTCATGGCATATGTTGTCGGATTCTCTCCAGATGGCACAGCCAAGGATGTGACAGTTCGATATCTACGAAAACAGCTGTGGCCAGGTCGTACGAAAGGCGCGAGAATGCCACTGGAAAAGGTACCGATTCACAACAGACACGGGAAGGTGACACGATATGACCAATTCGACTGGTTCAAGTCAGCTATGAAGGGCTATGCCAGGGGCGGTCGAAAGCATCCGATCACGGAGGAAGACGATGTTGAGGATTCCACAGACCTGAAACCCGCCCAACCAGAGAAGAAGGAGGTCAAGGAAGGTAGCGAAACTCTGGCGTACTACAAGCAGTCCAAAGAGTTCTGTCTCGAGCGTCACCTGAAGCGCGAGGAGGCCCTACTACCCACAGCAAAACCTGTCAAAACTTTCAACAACAAGGGGAAGAGTGGAGAAATTTCCGAGGAACCGGTCTACGCAAGGAAGGATGTTGTCAACGTCAAGAGTGCAGAGACATGGCACAAGCAAGGCAGAGCGCCCAAACCTGGCGAGATGCCCCTGAAGAGGGTTCCATATCGCGCGGCTACGACCAACAGGCGGCGAGAAATCGCAGAAGCCGAGGCTGCCAGCGGCGAAAAGGTTCTTCAAGGACTATACAGCTTTGAGCAGACGGACTGGATTATTCCGCCGCCCATCAAAGATGGAATCATTCCGAAGAACTCTTATGGGTAAGTCTGAATACTCGCTGACTGAGCGTCGTATACTAATCCCTCCAAGCAACATCGATCTCTTTGCCGAGCACATGTGCCCCGAAGGCGCTGCACACGTACCGTTCCGAGGAGCCGTCAAGGTATGCAAGAGGCTTCAAATCGACTATGCCGAAGCCGTTGTAGACTTTGAGTTTGGCAATCGTATGGCCGTGCCGGTTATTCAGGGCGTTGTCATAGCTGAGGAGTACCACGATCAAGTCATGGAAGAGATCCGCAAGGACGAAGTAGAGCGAGCGCGCAAAGAGGACGAGAAGCGACGCAAAGCAGCGTTGAGCATGTGGAGCAAGTTCTTGAAAGGTCTCAGGATCGTCGAGCGCATTCGCCAGGATTACGGTCATGTCGACGATAGTGTTCCTGTTTTCCAGAAACACGGGGCGGCCAAGGCTACCAAAGACGCTCACGCTGACGAAGACGACAAGAATCAGGTGGACGCCGAAGCGATGCAAATGAGGGAAGAGGAGATGGCAGGTGGTTTCTTTCCCGAAGGACATGACGAAGAAGAGGTCGACCAACCCAAGCGTTTTACGTCTGGCTTCTTCCCAGTGGTGGATGAAAATGACGAAGATGAAGATATGGATGACGCCCTGCAAGTGGATCACGGTCATGTTGAGAAGCCGCAAGCTGTCGACGGCACGGATGACGCGGAAAACGCGGAAAACGCAGAGGATCAGATGGAAGCTACACCCGAACCCGAGCCTCTACCTGCACCGGTGAAAGCCAAGCCGAAACCCAAGAAAAAGACAGTAGCGAGACGATCATCGAGGCGCCGGCGGAAGCCTATTTCTGAGAGCGAAGACGAGGATGAGGACGACGATGACGATTTTGTGGCCTCGGACGATGATTACGAGTGATGCATGCTAGGCTTGAAGGACGCCATGCAAGACGGGAAACCGCCTGAGTATTTTCATCACTGTGCGTCGGGATTTGAGAGTCGTGGACAAAACTGGGCAGCTGGCAGGCGGCTGTACTACGACGAGTGTGCCACCATCCTTATTTGTTGCAAGATGCATAGATGGGGGACATTGTTAGCTATCGCCACCAATAGAGGACTATTCCTTCTTCAGCTCGTATGCCGAGATGTGCTGGCCCGACTGGGAGGGTTCGATTCTGCGACTGCTAGTGTATGTACGGGTCGATTCGAGAGCACCTGATCACACTCTGAAGTGGACATTGCATCCAATAGAAGAAATGGTGCTGTCTTAGCTGATTCGGTGTGTTGGGCGTGTAAGTACTTCACAGCCTGATACTTGAAGTCGAAAAAGAACGCCGATAGCCTGTATTGATGGGAGATATCATAATATATGAAGATGAAATTTCCTCGTCCAGAGTAGCAACTGGTTTTCAATCCCCGTCGTCTGTTCGTCTGCCCACTCAAAGAACTAGTAATACGAGCGGTCGCCATGTCAGTGACAGCAAGTGAGACAAGAGGCATCCAATGACACCTCCACATGGGAATGCGCACCCGTTCGAGCGCCCTACCAGGGCCTTCCCTGCTGAAGATTTGCGCTAAAGAGAGGCCGGGGGATTCTGTCCACCCGGGGCCATCTGATGATCCACCGATCGGTTTAAGTCAGGTCCAGAATGTTTTCCCAACGTCACCTCATGCGCCCCTTTCCCCCTTCACCGACATGCGGATCGCAACCTCGTGGGCGCCAAGTTGCCGTGTCGCTTTCCTCGGAGCCTTTATAACCTAGCGACAGGGCCTGAACGGGGGGAAAATAGGATCTACGATTAGGTGAGGTGAGACAGGGCCAGCGAAAGAAGCGACGACCCTGGCGCGGCGAGGCGAGGCGCACCGGGAGCGGAGTGGTAAAAATCGTCCGGTCAGACGGGGCCAGGCGATTCACCAGGCTGTCGAACGACTGTGAGGATTTTTGGTTTGGTAGGGTAGTCGGGAAGGTGAAGGCCGTTTGGAAGGCTGCGAGGCTCCTAGGAACCATTTTCTTCAATATTCGACATCCCAAAGGTGAAGTTTGTTTGTTTTACTTAAGCCACATGCACAAAGGTGTTGGGCGAGAACATCCACCCCCGGAAGGTGAAAAAAAAGGGACAAAAAAGAGGGAAGGAAAACAATACCTTGGAACCAAAAGGGTCCTCGGGAAGGTGCGAGGCACGGCGGTCTAGGTGCTCTTTCCCGTAGCTGCCTCTCGTCAAGGACGTCCAAGGACGGCATCTCACGACCCACCTCGATCCGGAACCGCCTCTCTCTCACATCTTCAACCCTCCCGTCTTTTGACCTACCCACCTCCCACTTCTATTTCTCCCCCGTCTCATCGCTCGGTGCCATCCCATCTCTCACCAACTCACCTCCTACGGCGAATATCAATTTTCTCCCGCACACCTCGCGCTTCCGGAGTCTCGATCGGACGAACAACTTTAGATTATTCGCTTCTCCTTCGTCGCACATCAGAGATATCGGACCGCATACGAAAATTCGAGACGAAAAGGTCGGCAGTGACTCCTTCCCGGAGGTATGTATTATGCACTCTGTTGTCATATCTTCTCCTCCTTCCCATATCGAGGCTTGGTGGCGCTTCTATTTTGTGCTATTCTTCGCGAATAGCCTCTTTGGTTGCTCATGTACCCCGAACCTTCTTCCCTACTTGGCCCAATCCTTCCCATACGCCTCCCGGGGACTCATTTACAAGCTTTATGAGCGAGCGCACCGAGAATCTTCGCGGGTGAGGTGGCTCTTGGTGTTCAACGCAAGTGTGTTGAGCTCAATTCTCGTTTCCTTCTTCTACCCTTTATGCGCCTCCATCGGTGAGGTCCCATTTACCCAGAAAAATAAAACCCCCTCTCACTCGGCTGTGTTGTACCGTTTCCTTTTTTTTACCCTATGATGCGACTACTAGGTTGGGTTTTAGTCCAGATTCAACATTACTTTTCTAGCTTACCTACCATGTTTGCCTTGCTGAAAAAGTGGTGTCAAAGTGGAAGGGCTGTTGCTGATCATGAAAAACATAGTAAACTTCGAAGAGTCTGGGCGCATCGATCGGTTGCTCCCGCCCCAAACAAGCTTGTTGCCCGAAGGAGTTCTGGAATTCTGCCAAGGCTCGCGAAAGACATCAAAATCGTTCTCACCAATGGACTTGTGATGCAGCACCAATCAACCGAGCCTCCCACCGAGGCAATGGAGGCAGTCGACTGCGACAAGGACGCCTGTGCGGCTACAGTTCTCAGCGTATTCCCAGACATATGTCTTCGATACCTGGAAGAGACAGCCGCCAAGGTCAACCATAACCCCGACCAAACAATCGACACCATTCTGGGTTCCGCCGAGAAAGGCGGATCTTACCCCAAGGCATCCCGCCAGAAAAATCTTAAGCGGAAGCGTGAAGGATCGGCTGAGGATGATGAGAAGGCAAACATCCTCCGCCTCTATGCCTACCCAGGCCGAGAGCGGGAAGTTGAGGCGAGATACATCGACAAGTCGTAAGTCTGACTCCAAGTCCTTCCCCTAGTACAAGTTGCACGGCCAAGGTCATCGAAATGACGACTGCGCCGTTGCGCCATGCTCATTATTCAACTGAGGCTGACACTGGATTTAGGGAGCAAATCCTGAAGCATGATTTCCCTCAGGTTCTCCAGAAGTGCCTCGCGAAGGTCTTCTTTGACCATGACAATCAACTGCTGCCCACATACCTTCGCATAGATCAAGCTGTCGAGGATCTGAAAAAAGGTGTACGAGATGGCCTCCCTCCCGGCTTTGCGCTCAAGAAGAAGCCGACTCCGCCATCGGAGCGTATCTTTGAGGGAGAGAGACTGGATCACCTCATGAGAACGGCGAACCCTGTTGAAAAGAGAGCTTTGGACGAACTTGTGGCCGCCCGCCAAGTGCTGGAGGCTACCAAGACCAAGCAAGAAGCAGCTAGACTTGAGGCTGCCAGAGAGGCTGAGAACTTTGAGACAGCAAAGGCCCTTGGCACTGTTTTGGACTGTGGCTGTTGTTATGGCGAGTTTGCTTTCAATCGTATGGTCTGCTGCGAGAAAGAAACCCATGTGAGCACATGCTACTTCCTCCTTTCAGACTATTGCTGACGCTTTCAAGTTCTTTTGTGTCGACTGTGCACGCCGCAACGCCGAGACAGTTGTTGGTCTCTCGAAATATGAGATCACATGCATGTCCACAGATGGATGCGATGCTGTATTCTCCTACAAAGAACGCGCCAAGTTCATTAACGAGCAGCTCACCCAAGCTTTAGATCGCATTGAATCCGAGGCCAATCTTCGAATGGCTGGCATTGACGGCTTGGAGACCTGTCCCTTCTGTCCTTATGCTGCCGAATATCCGCCTGTCGAATCCAACAGAGAGTTCAAGTGCGAGAATCCCGAATGCCACGTGGTCAGCTGCCGGCTCTGCAGAGAAGAAACCCATATACCCAGAACCTGCGAAGAAGCTGCTAGTGACAGCACAGAAGGTGCTCGGCGTCAGATTGAGGAGGCCATGTCCACTGCGCTCATCCGCAAATGCAACAAGTGTGAGTATTTTTGCTTACTTGGCAAATGGACCAAGATCCTTCATTCGATTGCACCTGATACTGACATCTAATACAGGCGGCATGGCTTTCGTCAAGGAATCAGGGTGCAACAAGATGACTTGTCCCAAGCGTGGATGTAGGAACATCCAGTGCTACGTTTGCTCCAAGTCGTGCGACTACGCTCACTTTGACGACAAGACTAGAGGTGGAAAGAAGGGCAACTGTCCCCTCTTTGACGATGTCAACACACGCCACAATGAGGAAGTGCAACACGCCGAGGCACAAGCCCGCCAGGGGATTCTAGAGCGACACCCATCGATGAAAGCAAAGGAAGACCTTCTCAAGGTCAACTCGGGGGTTCCCGTGGCACCAGCAGTCCCCAAGGAGAACCGCCTAGAAGCTCGAGCTGCCCAGGAATGGGCGGAAGTAGATGCCATGATTGAGCGGCATGATCTCGAGGTACGACCTTTTTACCGCCCGAATGTCCAACCCGGAATGGTTCAACCAGTTCCTGGCATTCCCTATCAGTGGACTCCGGCCGGCATTTATCAGCCAATGCCACAGCCACAAGCTCATCCTTTTGTTGCGCCGGGAGGGGTTGCTGCTGGAGTCCAGAATCCGTGGTTTCACTTGGGTCCTCCAAACTATGCATACTTGCATGGCCATAACTACATGATGCTAGATCAGCAACATGGCCCAGTCGTCGGACCCGGACCAGGTTTCGGAATTCCGCAAGATCCCAGAGGCCCTTACTTGGGACAAAACAATGCACTGCCGGCGGCTCCCCAGCTTGTAGGCCCAGCAATGCCAGGCATCGCGCCTCACCAGCCTGCAGTCCAAGCAGTGCCAGGCATCGCGCCTCGCCCGCCGCCTGCAGTTCAAGCAGTGCCAGTCATCCCGCCACCCGATCAGGCAAGACTTGATGATCCTAACAACTTGGGCTTCGAAGAGGGATGGGGTCCAGAGTACGGAGAACCTAGAGAGTTGAAGAGGCAGAAGTTCCTCAATAAGGGTGCGGCACGGCCTGACCACCAGAACATGATCGATAAGGCAAGGGGGCAGCGGGCACGTCAGCAGGCCGAGCATCAGTCCCGGCACCTCATGGCCCATCATTTTGAAGCCGTACCGGAGGATAATGACTTTTTCGGAACTCGACTGGAACGACTTGGAGGACCTGTGCAGCCCGCCATGGCCGATTTTCCTGCAGCTCGATTAGGAGCCGGCCCCGGTAGCGGACCTCGATTGGGAGTTGGACCTCGAATGGCAGTCGGCTCCAATGGCGGATCTCGATTTGGAGTAGGGCCCAATGGCGGACTCGCACGATTCGTGGCTAGCATTAAGGATCGGGACGGACCCCAAGCTCAGAATCCGGCACCCATGAGTCGAGCATCCCAGCGAGCCTTTAATGCAGGTAACGAACTTCGACAGCGCCTTGCCCTTGAGCGCGGCGGAGCGAGTGGTAGCCCCGGAAGAAGCAGAGATCATCCTATCAAGATGGACTAATTGCAGGTTTCCGGGTTTCTATTTCTACTCTTACACAATTTTCTTTACATCACGACGAAGCGACGGGAGGCCAGCATCACTGGGTGGTCATTGGCACATCGCAGGAAGGCGAAAGCGTGGTTTTGTTTGGTTTGTGGAAAGCAGGATACGAGTGTGTTATCTTGCGTTTTCCTTGTCTTGTTACTTTCTTCTACTTTTCAGGAGTTTTCAGGAGGGTGGTCATCGGATGATATTTGAGCACGGCGTTGGAGGGCATCTCCATCTCATTACCCTAGCATTCATCGAGGCACTCACGTTTGGGCGGAGGGGAGGAAAGCGAATGTCATGCCGGCAGGGTATATCTCATTTGGGACACCATCAGCAATGTGTGGTTGTTTTTTGTGAAGCGGATAGCTATAGTGTAGCAGGGTTGTGTGAACTATGAAGCACCCCGTGTTCTAGGTAATTAAAAAGCAGAGGGTTCATCAGATTTGTTTGTGAATGCGATGATGGATTAGTGAGATATGTGATGTGTAAGTAAGTGTGAGTTTGCTACTTTTACCGCCCCCGGCCAAACTTCTCATGCCATTTACCCTTACTACCAGTGTTTTTGAGGTTTGATATTGTCTGCGGCTCGGTCTGGGCGACGAGCTCGATGGTCTCGTGGATGGTGGCGATGGCGGCCAGGCCGGTGACGGGGATGTTGTCGTCCGAGGAGTCTGGTGAGGGTGCCGTGGTGTGAGGGGCCAGGAGGATGAGGGAGTTGGAGGTGTTTTTCTGGAGGAGTTTGTAGGTTTTGTCTGGGGTTTTGAGGAGGGCTGTTGTTGGGGTTGATGTGAGGGTTATGCTGTCATGTGTGAGCGTTTTTCATGCCTTCTAGCTAACCTTTTGGTGGTTGATGGGTGATGTGACTTGGTGGAGTACGAGACTAAGATGGAATAAGACTTGATGAAGGGGAGTGAAGTTCAAGTAAGGTGAAGTGAGGTTAGATGTCGTCATTGAGGCTGATAATGGACTTAGGCACGGCTAGGCCGGGGCGTATGGCCTGGCACGGGTTGAGTGATGGAAGGGAGTGAAGTGGGTTGACTTACACCGGAGCATCTTCGGCAGTGAGCAGGGCCTCTAGGTCGGGGGGCAGCTCCATGAGCTTGTACCCTCTGGCATCCGGGGCATGGGTCAAGGGGATACCGGGGTCTTGGGTAGACATGTCTGCGAGTATCGAGAGATGGTGCTTGACTCGGAGGTATTGTATTGTCTTTGATCTTGGGTATGGGAAATGTGACGTTGCTGATGGAGCGAGATGTGAAGCCTAGTGAAACTTTGATATGAGAACGTGAGGTCGAATCAGCAGTCGCGTAATCGGTGCGGGGTGGGAAAAGAGACGTCTTTGGGGATTTTTGGGACGGAGAGCCGATTAGATTGGATGGGATGCGATGGGATCCATGGGAGGAAGGAGGAGGGGTTCTTGGGGTGTTTCTGTGATTGGCTGAATCGACTTTGGCAGGGGATCTGGTGGAGTATAGGGATCGAAAGATGCAATGATTGGGCAGAAGCTGGAGGATCAAGGTACGTATCTTATGTACTTATGTACAGGACGATCGAGCTTTTTTTCTTGCGTGTACGTACCGTGGGCCCGAGTGCCTTGTTTTAGTGCGGCTGTTGCTGGTCCGGCAAGGTTACGGGTGGAGACTTGTACCTTTGGACAGCTTTTGAGTGGACGCGTCTTGGGCGATGGGCGGGGCGCGTTGGATCTGTTTATGTTGACGTTTCGAGACCACTTTTTTTTGGTGGTGCTTGTGGTGGTAACTGGTTACTGGTGATGGGACTGGGCTGGGCGAAAGCGAGAGAGAGAGGGGAGGAGCGATGCGATGTGATGCTGAGAGTCCGAACCTGCCTGCATTTTGAGCTGCCGACGTGCACCTGCATCTTTCCAGTTTGTGAGCATCCAGTCACAGAAGCATCTGGTGAAATTTTCTATTTCACTCGGACTTGCGGTAAGATGCATTCATGATCTAGAACTTAGAAGTAAGTATCTTAATTAGAGACAGCCAATAGATCCAAGGCGGTCGGCATAGCACGCGACTCCCAGTCAATAGTGGGTGTTTATTCCGTCGTCTAGGACTCTTTTCTTTTTTGCACTTGATAGCCCCCCCCCCCCCCGATGAGATCTGTTTTGTTGATTTACTACAGTTGTCCGTAGAAACACTCGAATCATCAGTGCATTTTCTCGTCGACAAGGTAAAGAGGTCTAGCCCGAGTCCAGGACTGAGGCGTTCGTCGCTTAATTCTCTCCCCTTGTCTGGCGTTTTCGTCATCCTCCCTCTCCCGCTCTCTGCCCCCCCCCGTCACATCTCTAACCCTCTTTGTTCCTCGTCCACTTACTTGCATCTGCATGGGAGTGTCGGTGAAGAGGCACAGAGGGTAGCAAGCCCAAGAAAAACCAACCCTACCTGGTTAGGTAGTAGAAAATACAACCACCAGAAAGCTGACGGAGGACAAGAGGCTGGTTTCCTTGTTTCATTGCATCTGCGTGGCCTGCTTCAGAAGTTGAGGATCAACAAAGGGTTTAACAAAGTTGCAACAGAGAGGCAGGCAGATTAAACCGGGATCTATTGCGGTGCTGTTTAATCATTGATGGAGACTTCTTCCTGATCCTTACCAGGACCCCTCTGCCTTACGGTATTACACACTCCATCAACCTTGGGATTGGGCTTCACCTCTCTTGTTCGCAGCTCCATCGCAATCACAACAAACAACAACACACACGGCATACAGCGCCCCACGGTCCACAGACCGCCCAGCCCAGCCCAGCCAGCCCAGTTCACATCCAGGGCAGCCCACTTGGAGACGGCCTTACGTCCATACACTACGGATACACTGCTACCTTACTCCGTACCTTACTTTACCTTACTTTACATTGCCTACTAACCTACCGATACCCACCGCCGCTGTCGCTGTATACCTCCGTTGCTGCTGTCGTTGCTGAGGTCCCCCCCCCGTTGCTGGCTGAGGTGCTGCTTTCTCCAAGTCCAAGGTAAAACCACCGCCCGGGCGTAAGCCAAACCCACGGACTCGACTCAACCCCGGCTGCACTCAACGCCAGCCAACTCACACCGACACCGACACCACCAATACCACCACCACCACCACCACCACCACACGATAATTATCGCTGCGCTTGCAATCTTCATCTGTCCAACTTTGGTCGCGCTAGCCAGCCTGGCAATTTGCCAACTTTTTCCTCACGCTCTTTTTCCCCCCTGATTCTTTTTTTCTTCCCTTTGCCGGCACGTCAAAAGCCTTATTTCCATTTCGTCGAGAGTCGCATCGCGAACGCCGCTCCGTTGCTACCCTTGGCTTTCAGTCATAGACTCGACCGCCACTCGACCCGGGTCGACCACTTTGCGCCCGACGCGGTCGACATACACACACACACCACAGCACACCGAACCCGATACACTCGTTTGCCGACTTCGTACCCCCCCTGCCGGCTCTTTTTCTTTCCCTTTGCCTTGCGTGAATCGGTCAGCGCCCAGTCAGCAATGACCTTGGCCCATTAAACGAGCCCACGCGACCGACCGACCGACCGATCGACCGCATCGCCAGCCCCGACAATGGTTCGTGTCACCGAGGAGCTGGCTCTGTCTGCCGACCAGCTTACCCTATACCACGCCGCTGACCCCCTCCTCGGACACCTGCCCGTCCTCATCTTCCACGGCGCCTCCACAACTGCGAACTACACCCTCAACAGCTCCCGCGTCCAGATCCACGTCTACAGCCCCGCCGGCTTCCAGTCGTTCCCGCGCCTGACCATCCAACCCAACTCGCCCTTCTACGCCGTCGTCAACCACCTGCCGCGCGAATGGCAGGGCGACGAAGTCTACCGAGGCCTCGCCTTTGGCCTCTACAAATACTTCCAGGAGCTGCCCGAGGTCGTCAAGAACCACCTCAAGAACACATACCCGACTACGAGGGGGCGCCGCCCGGGAAGTGGGCCGGCCCTCTTTGGCGAGCAGCATGCCGCTGACCTCGCCAAGAACATGATCAAGAGCGAAAACACCATCGAGGTTCTCGAGACGTTGCAGACCGCCCTGCAGACCCAACACCTGAGCAACGTGGACGTCGACTTTGTCCTGCCGCCCGGCTCCATTGTGCCGCTGCAACCCGAAGATCTCGACGACGCGCCGGAGGATGACGATGATTTCCTGGACCCGACTCTGCGGCAATATGGAGGATACACGCCGCTGGTGAAGCTGCTCGGCGAGCCTGTCTTCCTCCCGACATCCAGATTACGGAGGGCACCTTCTAAGCCGACGTCGCTGAATCGCAGCAAGTCCTTTTCCAAGGACCAAAAGGTGGATCTCAGGATGAAGCTCGGGGAGCTGGTCGACACCGAAGAGAGATATGTCCTGAAGCTGAACGAGCTGGTGAAGCACATCGCCGACGACTTTAGACAATCTGCGAGACAGCGCGACCCGAGCAGCCTGAGTCCCTCCGAAGAAGAGCTCGAGAAGCTTTTCCCCAGGTCAGCGGATAGGATATTACAGGTCAACTCTGCTTTCATGCAGGAGTTGCGCAAGATCATGGATGATACCGAGGAGGAAGCCGTCAGGGACATGGAGGTGACGACAGTTGCGCTGACAGGATCAAGGCTGGGATCACCATCCAAGATGAAGGATCCCACAGGCGCGTTGGCGATCGCGAGGGTATTCCTCGAGTGGTTCCCCAAGTTCACGGGCTGCTACCAGGAGTACATTCGCGCCAGCCAGCATTTCCCTACGCTTCTTAACTCGTTTCTGGATCAGCAGTCGAGCTTTCGGCAACGAGTTCTGCAGACCGGCGAGCAGACCGTCCGCTCCATTCTCATCGAGCCTGTTCAGCGTCTTCCCCGATACAGTCTGCTCATCGACCAGATTGTGAGCTGTCTTCCCATGACACACCCGGCGCTGCAGTCGATGCTCAAAGCCCGCGACATTATTACAAATATCTGCTCAATGGACGAGCCTATTCCGGATAAGCCG